GTTGTTGATGTCCAGCTTTAGTCCATGGTGGTCAGATAGTATACAAGGGATTATTTCGATCCTTTTGTATCTGTTGAGGCTTGCTTTGTGACCAACTATATGGTCTATTTTGGAGAAGGTTCCATGCGGTGCTGAAAAGAAGGTGTACTCTTTTGAGTTTGGGTGAAAAGATCTGTAGACATCTATTAGGTCCATTTGATTTAGGGATTCTGTGAGTGCTTTCATTTCCCTATTTGGTGTCTGTCTGGTTGATCTGTCCCTTGATGAAAGTGGGGTGTTGAAGTCTCCCACTATTAAGGTATTAGGATCAATGTATGATTTAAGCTTTAATATTGTTTCATTTACGAATGTAGGTGCTCTTGTATTTGGGGCATAGATATTCAAAATTGTGATGTCCTCTTGTTGGATTTTTCCTTTGATGAGAATATAGTGGCCCTCCTTATCTTTTTTGATTAACTTCGGATGAAAGTCTATTTTATTAGATATTAGGATGGCTACTCCAGCTTGTTTTCTGGAACCATTTGCTTGAAAAACATTTTTCCAGCCCTTTACTCTGAGGTAGTGTTTATCTTTGTTGCATAGGTGTGTTTCTTGGATGCAACAGAATGTTGGGTCTTGTTTCTGTAACCATTCTGTTAGCCTGTGTCTTTTTATTGGTGAGTTGAGTCCATTAATATTGATAGATAATATTGACCAATGCATGTTAGTTCCTTTTGTAATGGAGTCGATGATCTTACCTTGTTTCATTGCTTGTTTTCTTTTCATTTTTGTTGGGATATTATCTGTATGCCCTGTTTTCTTGGGTGAATTCGTTTTCGTTGGATTGGAGTTTTCCTTCTAGTATCTTCTGTAGGGTTGGTTTGTTGTGTAGATATTGCATAAATTTAGTTTTGTCATGGAATATTTTGTTTTCTCCATCTATGCTGATTGAAAGCTTTGCAGGGTATAGTTGTCTGGGTTGACATTTGTGATCTCTTAGAGTCTCCATGATGCTTGCCCAGGCCCTTCTGGCTTTCATAGTTTCTGATGAGAAGTCTGGTGTGATTCTGATAGGTCTACCTTCATATGTTACTTGGCCTTTTTCCCTTGCTGCTTTTAATATCTTTTCTTTGTTCTGTAGATTTAGTGTTTTGACTATGATGTGAAGTGATGTGTTTCTTTTCTGGTCTAGTCTATTTGGTGTTCTGTAGGCCTCTTGTATATTTATGGACATCTCTTTCTTTAAGTTGGGAAAATTTTCTTCTATGATTTTCTTGAAAATATTTTCTGGACCTTGGAGCCTGGAGTCTTCTTTTTCATCAATTCCTATTATTCTTAGATTTTGTCTTTTCATAGCATCCTTGATTTCTTGGATATTTTGTGATTGGAATTTTTCTGATTTTACTTTTTCTTTGAGAGAAGTATCAATTTCTGCAAGTGTGTCTTCAGCTCCAGAGATTCTCTCTTCCATCTCTTGTATTCTGTTGGTGATGCTTACTTTTGTGGTTCCTGATCTTTTCTCCAAGTTCTCCAGCTCAAGAGTTTTCTCATTTTGTGTTTTCTTTATTGATTCTAATTCTGTTTTCATGCCTTGCACCATTTCTTCCATGTGTTTGAATTTGGATTCCTGTCTCTCTACAATGGACTCTATTTCTTTGTTCATTTCCTTTTTGTATGCCACTAATTTTTTCTCTACTTGTGCCTCTATTTTTTTGGCTATGTTTTCCTGTGTTTCTTTAAGGGTTTTGTCTATTTCTTCTTTCTTTACCTCCAATTGACTGGCCAACTCTTTGAAAGAATTGTTCATTTCCTCCTTATGAGCCTCAAATAATTGAGCAAGCATGGCTTTAAGGTCATTTTCCTGTGCTTCTGATGAATTGGAATATCCATCGATTTTGGGGTTTGCTGGTGAAGTCATGATGTCCTGATTTATGTTGGAAATGTTCTTTCGCCTACCCCTGGTCATCGGCTTATCTGAGACCTTCCCTGTTTGTTTTTGGATTCTGCCGATCAGACTGGTACTGTCTCTCTCTCGAGTCTGGAGAATTCTTCAGGAAGTTGAGAGAGGTCCCGTGTCCTTAGCGTGTGCTGAGGACTAGCTGTACCTGTGAGAGGAAAGTACGCAGGTGCAAACAGAGGCAAATGCAAGCGTGCGTGCGTGTGTATATGTGTGTGTGTGTGTGTAAGTGGGCGTGGGCGTGTGTCTCAAGGGACAGAGTGATGGCTAATGTTGAACCCTTGAGTTTGTGGGAGGGGCTCTGCAATGTATATGTCGCAGGCGCTAGTGATGTTCGCAGCGCAATTTCTGGCATTAACTGCCTTAACTCCTCAATTAGACCCACAGAGCAGGAACTTCAATGATCCAAGTGCCCCTCTGTTTCCCAAAGTGGGTATATGGGTGGGAGGGGGTTCGATGCCTGGCTTCTGTTTTAGAAGGACCCAGGATCAGTGGAGCTGCAGATTCTCAAGGGTTCACTCACTTACAGGCAGGTCACTTGGCAGAGATCGCGGTATCTGGGCTGTCTGCTCTCTGGTTTGGCCCTGCTTCTTTGATGTGCTCTGCCAGTTCCGTGCTGTTGTCACTGCCAGGTTATGAGGTCTTGCTGCAGCTGGAGATTTCAGGGTGGTCACGTCAGTGGGAATCGGGGTAACCAGCCTTTCTGTTCTCTGGTTTGGCCCTGGTTAGTCTTAAACTGGAGGGCTGATGTGCCCCGCCAGCTCAGTGCTGCTCCGCCGCCAGGTTAGAAAGTCCCGCTGCAACTGGAGACTGGGTTGCTAGTCCAGATGCTTTCTGGGAAGTCCTAGGGTCTCTTCACTGTGCTCTCCAAGCTTCGGAGGCCCAGCGCCTGGTGTGTCTAGCTTGTATGGCGTTTCTGTCTGGTTTTGGTGAGTATATAGCATATTCTCTGTCACTGTTGGATTGGGCGGGCCGTACCGTCAGTGATCGCGATCCTGCGGAGCTAGTATGGCGTCTAGCAGACTCGGGCCCTGGGAGGATGGTGCAGCCGGCGCCGCGCGAATCTGGGGCTCCCAGACACAGTACTGCTGGCCGTTGCAGATAAAGGGCTTGGGGCTCCGCCTCAGTGGCTGCAGGCCCCAGGCAGTTAGGTCTGCACTGAGAGAGGCGAGTCTGAGAAAGGCGAGTCCACTGTGCCGAGGAGGAGGGAGGTCTGGGGGAGGGCATATTTGGTATTTTTAATACCAAATATACACTTACTCTATCTTCTTATTTTTAATTAACCCAGAAGACATGTGTGTGAATTTAGAACATTATTGTGTAACTAGAGGTGGCACCCATTCTCAAACTACATGTAGATCTTAAGATCACATATCAAACTAGTTCTAACACTTGAGCAAGGTTAGTTTCATCTTGAAGGAGTGTCCTGGCAAATGTCAGTCTACCACCCAAAATAGAAGCTATCCTGACATTCAAGAAATATGAATAAAAACTTTAGACAGCATGATATAAAGACATTTAAGAGACAATACAAGACAAAGGACTTTTTTTTTTTAACAGTTTGGGAAAATCATAAAGTCACATGCCACTATATTTCAAAAACAAAATAAATGAATAACATTCTTTGTGAAAGTGAGAATCTGAATTCCAATTTTCTACATTATAACAACCCAATACAAGTTTTTATAAGAATAATTAAGTAACAAATATGACAAGTAAAAGGTATGGCCTACTTAAAATGAAACATACTAAGAATGGTCTCTGTGGAAGATTTTCTAGACAAATGTTTTTTAAAAGGTAAATCTTAAATATGTGTAAAAGGATGAAATATAACATAGAGAGAGTACTAATGACAACTAGAAAACTAGAGTGTGGGAACATCAATAACAGGAAAAGAACAAAACAGAAACCTAGATTTAAAAATATAATCAATCACATTTTTCTCTAGAGACATTTAGTGGAAAATGACACAAATACAATAATGAATTAGAGAAGAGGAACAGAACAATAGAAACTGTCAAGATTAAGAAGCCAAAGACATATTTACAAGTAACTAGTATTCAGTGGACTTATGGGATATTGGCAAGCTGACCAGAAATATGTGTTATGGGAGTATAAGAAGGAGGAGGAAGTGGGGAAAAGATAGGTTTTTGAAAGATACAATGATATATTTGATATATCAATATACAAAATCTAGAAGATAAAATCTAAGAGAGTGAATGCAAAGAACTTTGTTCACCAAAATAATCAATAGATTTGATATAATCAATAAGCAGACAATTTATATAAGTGATTATATAAAAGTAATTCATACTCATTTCATAATTTCTCTTTTGAATTTAAATCTTTTGATACCACAGTTCCATGTATTTGAACACTTGGTTCCCTAGCTGAGAGAGGAGCTTTGAAAGGATATGACTGGGAATTGATCGGCAGAGTTGAGTTGCTTGGGGCTGATGTTGAAGGAGATGCCTACTTTGTTTCCTGTGTGAACTCTACTAACTCGTTCAGCCTCCAAGACAGGAATTCTGTCACACAGATAACACCCTCAGAAAATGTGAGCCAAAATTACGCTTTCCCTTAAATATCTCTGTCAGATACGTTGTCACAACAATGAAATAAATAGCTAGTAGACATGCTAATGCATAATTTAGTACAGCACATTTGTGTTAAAATTTCAGTTTTGTAATCTGTCATAGATGGCTTAACTCTTGGGAAATTGGTGGTAAAGAACAGAGAAGAACAGAATGTAGTGGTACACATATCAAATCCCTGTCCTTGGAAGGAAGGCAGAAGCAGGCAGGTCTCTGAAGCTTGAGTCAGCCTTGATTACATAGTAAATTTCACATTGTTGTTATTAGTAAGTCCCACTACATAGAAGTAAGCTGGCCAGGACCACATAGTAAGACCCCATCTAAGAAAGAAGGTCGGGAAACAGATTTTTGCTTCAGAAGATGTCTGTTCTCTTTAATTTCTTGATTTTTAAAATCATTTCAAAGTGCTTCCTGTCTCCATTGTTTATACATTTTATTGGTCCTGTAATCAAATCTTTCCTTTTTCTCAGGTTTGGGAAGAAGTTTGTTTTCACATGTGCTTTACTCCTAATGGCCATCACTGGGACTTGTGTAGCTTTGGCTCCCACCTTCCTCATCTACTGCTCACTTCGCTTCCTCACAGGGATCTCTTCCTCATCCATAAGAACAAACAGTGTTTTACTCAGTAAGTCAAAGCTTTTAATGGGCATTGTTCAAGTTTTAGGTTTGACCTGAATGTCCTTTGCACCTTTCTTAGAAGTCAAACTTCATTTTCTTTTCTTCCAGTATTAGAATGGACAAGCCCTAAATTCCAAGCTATGGTAATGGCTTTGGCAATTTGTGCTGGGGGGATTGGACAGGTAATGTTGGGAAGCCTGGCTTTTGGTATTCGAAACTGGCACCACCTCCAGCTGGCAATGTCTGTACCAGTGTTCTTCCTCCTTATTCCCACAAGGTATGAGCCTTCTTTCCTCTTCTGTGTTATGGAATCCAGGGATGACAATGAACATGGAATCAAGACATAAGAAATGTATTTGCTTTTGGCTTACACAATGTGCACTCCTTTTTGTATTTATGTAACAGGAAGACAAGCATCTGAATCAGAAAAAAATCAAGAAGGTTGAATTCAACTTGAATTTAAGACAAGCAATAAGTAGTTTTATAAAATCATAATCATATCGTATGTATAATACATGCATACATCATATCGTATGTATAATAAAAGACATGCATTTTCTGACAAGTACTTATTCTTTGAAAATTCTGTTTACCTGTGAGTTCTCTATTTCGTTTGTTAGCTGGGTAAAATTTATAACATTTCATTGTATTCATATTATTTAAAAATAGTAAGCACTTTCAGTATATCAAAGTATTGAATGTGGTATGTTTACAGTAAAAAAAAAACGTATACTGATTGATATTCAAATTTTACTATGCACAAGTTTATTTTATTCACTACAGGAAAAAATACAAAAAGCAGAATTAGCAATCAGTCTTTACCAGAATGTTCTTGGCCTTTCTGTCTGTCTTTGCTACTAAGTCTAAGTTATGCAGTTAGTAACAGAATAAATATTTCAAGATCAGATTGCCTCTGCTGTAGTTTGTAGTTCCATGAGTGGCTTTGCAAACAAAAGTGCTTTCAAAATTATGGTGACTTTAATATTAAATAAAAGACAAATAAATTAAGTTTATTTTCTTTTTTAATTTTAAATTTTTTATATGAATTATAGTTTATTCACTTTGTATCCCAGCTGTAGCCCCCTCCCTCATTCCCTCCCAGTTCCACCTTCCCTTCCTCATCTCCTCCCATGCCCCTCTACAAGTCCACTGATAGGGGAGGTCCTCCTCCCTTTCCATCTGATCCTATACTATCAGGTCAGGTCTCATCAGGACAAGCTGCATTGTTTTCACAACTGTTTAATGAAGGATAATCATGGCTTCTCCAGTTTAAAGCTGTAGGCAGAATAGCCCATTTCTCTCACTGGCTTTTTGGATTCCCTTGCTTTACACACACACACACACACACACACACACACACACACACACACACACGATTTAAAAGTTCTTTGATGAGGGAGGGGCATAGGAGAAGAGGGAGGGAGAGTGGGAATGGGAGGGAATGGGGAGGGGGCTACAGCTGGGATACAAAGTGAATAAACTGTAATTAATAAAAATAAAATAAAAATTAAAAAGTGCTTTGATGCCATAAATAGAGGAGGCATATTTATTTAGGAAGAACTATAAAATGCTTAGATGAGTTCATACAGAAAAGAGGGAAAGTCCTCTGACAGGCTCTTCCATATCACTATCCTCACAACATAGCCATCAAAATTATGACATTGCTGTCTCCATTTTATGGATTAGAAATAAAGGTAGAGCTAGTTTGCTTTTGTGGCCAGAAAGTATTACTTGTTAAAAGTAGAAATGACTGGACTTTGAATGATAGAAATGTTTTATAAAATTTGTTCAGCCATATTCTTTTAGCATAAGAACAAATTAGGTATAAATGTTTACATTAACAAGGAACTTGGAAAGTGTCTATACAAGTGTTTCTCATGTTGCAGTTCTGTGAACTCCATGTAAATAAATATCCAGGTAATAGTGGACAGAACAGCATGATTCCAGGTCAGCATTCTGGAAGTGTAGTTGTAATGCAGGCATGAATTATTTCCCATTTTCCTAGTGAAGTTACAGACAGTTTATGATTATATTTATCAATATAATTGAATGAGTGATAGGTATTAAGTGAAAGAATATAACTGTTCAAGGATAAGTGTGGTTTTAAAAATGATAAATATTAATTGTGGTTTAGGTATTAAGTGAAAGAATATAATTGTTCAAGGATAAGTGTGGTTTTAAAAATGATAAATATTAATTGTGGTTTAAAAAATGTAAGATAATTAAGAATTATCCAATGTCTTGAGCAGGTGGCTGTCAGAGTCAGCTCGGTGGCTGATTGTGACCAACAAATCCCAGAAAGGCTTAAAGGAACTTAGAAAAGCTGCACAAATGAATGGAATAGAGAGTTCTGGAGATGTCCTAACCATAGAGGTAAGTAAGTATAAGACACACACACACATAAAAAAAACAATCCACAAACTGGATATATGTAGAAGTTAGTGCCCAAGATACAGTGTGTAGTGAGTAAAAACACTGTAGAAGGATGTTTTATTAAAAAAAACATTAAAATCACTTCTGTTTTGTTTCTTGAATTTTGTGCTGATTATTGTTTTGTTTAACCTGATACAAGCTAAAGTCATCTGGAAAGAGGGACTTTGAAGTTAGAAAATGCCTCTATCAGATTGGCATGTAGGCAACTATATAGGGCCTTTGCTTGATGTGGGAGGGCCTAGTTCTCTGTGGGTAGTGTTGCCCCTGAGCATGAGGTTCTGTGTTATATAGGAAATTAAGCTGAGAGAACCAAAAAGAGCAAGGCAGTAAGCAGCATTCCTCATGGACTTTTCTTTAGTTCCTGTTTCCAGGTTCCTGCCTCAAGTTTCCACCCTGACTTTCCTTCATGTAAGATGAAATAACCCTTTCTTTTTCAAGTTGTTTTTTTTTGTCGTGGTGTTTATCACAGCAATAAAAAAACAAACTGCGGAAAATTTTATTTTTAGAACCTTCTCCATGGGGGTTTATTTATTTATTTTTAATTTTTTATTAGAAGATATCAGTTATATGTTGTATTGGTTTTCATTTTGACAGCTTCATACATGTACATAGTGTATTTTTATCATCTTAAAAAACCATGCCAACTCAATTTTCTTACTGTCACACTTCTTCTGATCTCTTTCTTATCCCAAATAGTCTATATTAATCTCTAATCTCTCTCTCCTCTCTCTGCATAAGTAATTTCAATTAAAGTTTCTTGCAGAAGCATTGTGAATTGTGAAGATTTAATTACAATAATGTGGGCAACTTAATACAAGACTACACCACTTCTCCCAGCAGCTATTAACTCATAAACTCCCCAGACATCTTCAGGAGGGATTTATGAGCCCTTCCTCATTAGCAATAGCCAACTACCTGTAAATCCTCAAGGAGAGGCAGGACGCCTCTACTCCTCAAAATGAAAGTGTATGGGCCTATTCTCTTGCAGGTCTTATGCATAGCTGCTGAGAGCTTAAAATCCACTAGCCTGCCAGGTGGTGGTGCCTTTAATCCCAGCACTTGGGAGGCAGAGGCAGGTGGATCTTTGAGTTCAAGGACAGCTAAGGCTACACAAAGAAACCCTGTCTCAAACAACAACAAAGATGAAAATTCACTAGCCATGCCATGTCAAGAAGACAACACTACACATTATTTTACTTCTACTGCCTTTTATCTTTTCTTTGTCCCCACTTTCATAATGTTCCCTCAACTTTTGGAAGAGGTGCTACAGATATCCCATTTGTGCCTGAATATTGAACAGTAGCTTATTCTCAGGACACTGACCAATTTTGACACTGTAGAACTTCCACCAACTACAGAAAAATAAGCTTCTCTAACTAAAACAAACATTTGGAAGGCAATTCAATTAGAATATCATCTCTATTTGCAAAATAACTATAATAAACCACTAAGGTCTGTGACATCCACAGTCATGGGCTTATGGCAGGGTTTAAAACACCAATATGAATTTCCTCCCATTAAAAGGCCTCAAGTATCTGGTTACCATCATAACAGTGATAACATTGATACAGCAGTGAGTACATCTTGCCAGCCAAGGATCAGTCCTGTATCATAAACATTAACAGATGAGTAAGATTATGATGACAGTTCTCCAGAGCAGCCTACATAGCACCTCCCAGGACTGTGAGAGCTTTCCAACAGGGAGGAACTTTCCAAAAATAGTTCTAGCTTGATTTCCCTATATTCTGCAATTGTATAGTATACTAGATAGGTTCTTAGCATTAGTTCTGTTGGGAAAGTTAAATGAACTCATGTGGCGGTTAATTTGATTGTAAACTTGGCAATATCTAGAATATCCTAAGAGATAAATTCTCAGGCATATCTGTGTTCGAACATTTCTATTAGGTTAGCCTCTTGGAATAACTGCTCTTGGGAATATCTTGATTAGGTTAACTGAAGTAAGAAAACATCCAAAAAGTGACAATAACATTCCTTGGGCTTGGGTCCCCAATTAAATAAAAAGGAGGAATTTAGCTGACCATGAGCATTCATTGTTCTCTGCTTCTCACATGTAATTACAATATGATCTGATGCATTTATTTCCCCAGATGCTACCATGATTTCCCCATCATAAAAGATTATACCTACAAATTATGAGCTGAGAGAAATACTTTTTATGTTTCTTTTGTCAGAGTACCTTAATCACAGCAACAGTAAAAGCAAACAATAGAGAAAATAGTACCAAGGATGGGGTCATTGCTGTGATAAACCTTAACCAGGCAGTCCTTAGATCTTTGAAACTCATTTGTGGGAAGAATTTGAAAGACTTTGGAACTTTGGACCATAAATTTTTCTGAATAGTATAAGCTGAGGTCAACAGCTTATATTATACTATACTGTACTATACTATAGTATACTATCTTACTGTACTGTACTATACTATAACCATTCTGGGGGGACCTGGAAAAATGAGAATACTGACAGACATATGGGTATTAGAGCAGGACCCATGAGGTTTAAAAGTTAACAGTAACTATATCCAGAATGAGGATAGTGTCATTTATGTGATAGTTTTACTAAGACTCTGGGTTTATTTTCCCCATATCATGAGAATTTGCATAAAGTGAACCTTAAAGATAATGTACGAATATGTTTGATGGAAAAATGTTAAAACAGAAAAAGATCTCAGACTATTCTATGGCTAGTCTTTACTGCATTATACAGGCCTGAGTAGAAAAAGAGAAAAAGTTGAGCAGTTTGTCAAGAAGCAAAGAAATTTATTAATTTACCTATGTTGGAACATCCCTGAAGCTCTGAAGCTAACTTGATCATGATGATTTTTATTTCTGTTGGCCATTATGTTTTTGAGAATGTTTTGATATCAGGGTCATTCTGGCTTCATAAAAAACTTTGTAAGCTATTCTTACTCTTCTACTTTATGGAATAATTTGAATGATTCTGGGGTTAATTTTTCTTTAAATGTTGGGGATTCAACAGTGAATCCATGTGAACCTTGGGACCTTTATAATATCTGTTTAAATTATTCATTTTATCTTGTTTTAATTTTGGTAGGCCAAATGTATCTATAATTTTACCTATATTTTTAGATTTTATTATTTTTTTGGTACATTGGTTTTGTAGTACGTCTTTTTTATTTTCTGAGTTTTATTAGTATCAGTTTAGTATCTCCCTCTTAATCTCTACCTTTGCCAATTCAGACCTTAACTCTTTCTTTTCATTAATATGAATAAGATTTCATTAGTATTGTTTATCTTTTTTGTTTTTTAAAATTTTATTTATTTAGTTTTTTGTTTTATTTTTTGTTTATCTTTTTTTGTTATTTTTTAAAATTTTTTATTAATTACACTTTATTCATTTTGTATCCCCCCATAAGCCCCTCCCTCCTCCCCTCCCGATCCCACCCTCCCTCCCCTTTCTGCATGCATGCCACTCCCTAAGTCCACTGATAGGGGAGGTTCTCCTCTCCTTTCTGATCTTAGTCTATCAGTTCTCATCAAAAGTGGCTGCATTGTCTTCTACTGTGGCCTGGTAAGGCTCCTTCCCCCTCAGGGGGAGGTGATCAACGAGCAGGCCAATCAGATTATGTCAGAGGAAGTCCCTCTTCCCATTACTATGTAACCCACTTGGACACTGAACTGCCATGGGCTACATCTGTGCAGGGGTTCTAGGTTATCTCCATGAATAGTCCTTGGTTGGAGTATGAGTCTCTGGGAAGTTCCCTGTGTTCAAATTATCTTGTTCTGTTGCTCTCCTTGTGGAGTTTCTGTCCCCTCCAGCTCTTACTATTTCCCACTTCTTACATAAAATTCCATTCACTCTGCCCATCAGTTGTTCATCAGGCTCAGCATCTGCTTTGACAGTCTATATTGCAGAAGAAAAAGAAAATAGGAAACAACCTCGGAACCTACCACAGAGGGCCTCTGAAAGCCTCTGCAGTATCTTTTTATTTTTATTATTAGTTACATTTTATTAACTCTGTATCCCAAATGTATTCCACTCCCTCATTCCCTCCCAACCCGACCCTCCCTCCCTCATCTCCTTCCTGCCCCTTTCCAAGTTCACTGATAGGGGAGGACCTCCTCCTCTTTCATCTGACCCTGTTTTATCAGGTATCTTCAGGACTGGCTGCAAAGTCCTCCTCTGTGGCCTAGCAGGGCTGCTCCTCCCTTGGGGAGTGGGGAGGTCAAAGAGCCTGCCATTGAGTTCATGTAAGAAATAGTCCCTGCCCCCCTTACTAGGGAAACCCACTTAGTTACTGAGCTACCACGGGCTACATCTGAGCAGAGGTTCTAGGTTATATCCATACATGGTCCTTGGTTGGATAAACAGTCTCTTATAAGACCCCTGTGCCCAGATATATTTGGTCCTTGTGGAGCTCCTATCCTCCCCATGTCATACTAACTCTCCCTTCTTTCATATGATTCCTGGCACTCTGCGCAAGGTTTGGTTATGAGTCTTAGTATCTTCTTTGATACACTGCTAGGTAGAGTCTTTCAGAGGCCCTCTGTGAAAGGCTCCTGTCCTGTTACTTGTTTTCTCCTATGTCCAATGCCCATCCATTTGTCTTTCTAAGTGAGGATTGATCATCTTACCCTGGGTCTTCTTTCTTGTTTATCTTTTTTAGGTGTATAGATTTCATTATGTTTATCATATCTTATAGGTCTATATAAGTGAGTATATACCATGTGTATCTTTCTCCTTCTGGGATAACTCACTCAGAATGATCTTTTCTAGATCCCACCATTTGCCTGCAAATTTCATGATTTCCTCCTTTTTGATTGCTGAGTAGTATTCCATTGTGTAAAAATACCACAATTTCTGTATCCATTCCTCCGTTGATGTACATCTGGGTTTTTTCCAGGTTATGACTATTACAAATAAAGCTGCTACAAACATGGTTGAGCAAATGTCCTTATTGTGTACTTGAGCCTCTTTTGGATATATGCCTAGGAGTGGTATAGCTGGATCTTGAGGAAGAGCTATTCCTAATAGTCCGAGAAACTGCCAGATTGATTTCCAAAGTGATTGTACAAGTTTACATTCCTACCAGCAGTGAAGGAGGGTTCCCCTCTCTCCACATCCTCTCCAGCATGTGTTGTCACTTGAGGTTTTGATCTTAGCCATTCTGCTGGACGTAAGGTGAAATCTCAGGGTTGTTTTGATTTGCATTTTCCTGATGACTAAGGATGTTGAACATTTCTTTAAGTGTTTCTCTGCCATTTGATATTCCTCTATTGAGAATTCTCTGTTTAGCTCTGTACCCCATTTTTAAATTGGGTTAATTGATTTGTTGCTGTTTAACTTCTTGAGTTCTTTATATATATATTGGATATTAGCCCTCTGTCAGATATAGGATTGGTGAAGATCCTTTCGCAATCTGTAGGCAGTCATTTTGTTTTGACGACAGTGTCCTTTGCTTTACAGAAGCTTTTCAGTTTCATGAGGTCCCATTTATTGATTGTTGCTGTTAGAGCCTGTGCTGTTGGTGTTCTGTTCAGGAAGTTGTCTCCTGTTCCAATGAGTTCAAGGCTCTTTCCCACTTTTTCTTCTAACAGGTTTAGTGTGTCTGGTTTTATATTGAAGTCTTTGATCCCCTTGGACTTTAGTTGTGTGCAGGGCATTAGTATGGATCTATTTTCATTTTTCTACATGTAGACATCCAGTTAGACCAGCACATTTGTCGACAATGCTATCTTTTTTTCCATTGTATGGTTTTGGCATCTTTGTCAAAAATCAGGTGTCCATAAGTGTGTAGGTTTATTTCTGGGTGTTCTATCTGATTCCATTGATCCACCATTCTGTTTCCATGGCAGTACCATGCAGTTTTTAGTATTGTTGCTCTATAGTACAGCTTGAGATCAGGGATGGAGATACTTCCAGAAGATCTTTTATTGTAGAGGATTGTTTTAGCAATAAAAAAACAAGGAAATCATGAAATTTTCAGGTAAACGATGGGAACTAGAAAAGATCATCCTGAGTGAGGTATCCCAGAAGCAGAAAGATACTCATGGTATATACTCACTCATAAGTGGATATTGGACATATAATATAGGATAAACATATTAAAATCTGTACACCTAAGGAAGCTAAACAAGAAGGAGGACTCTGGCTAAGATGCTCAATCCCCATTCAGAAAGGGAAAGAGGATGGACATCAGAGGGAGAAAACAGGGAACAGGACAGGAGCCTACCACAGAGGGCCTCTGAAAGGATTTACCCTGCAGGGTATCAGAGCAGATGCTGAGACTCATAGCCTATATTTGGGCAGAGTACAGGGAATCTTATGAAAGAAGAGGGAGATAGTAAGACCTGGAGAGGACAGGGGCTCCACAAGGAGAGCAACAGAACCAAAAAGTTTGGGCACAGGGTTCTTTTCTGAGACTGATACTCCAGCCAAGGACCACCTATGGAGATGGCCTGGAACCCATGCACAGATGCATCCCATGGCAGTTGAGTGTCCAGGTAGGTTCCATAGTAATGGGAACAGGGACTGTTTCTGATATGAACTGATTGGTCTGCTCTTTGATCACCTCCCCTTGAGGAGAGAGCAGCCTTACCAGGCCACAGAGGAAGACAATGCAGCAACTCCTGTGGAGACCTGATAGACTAAGATCAGAGGGAAGCAGAGGAGGACCTCCCCTATCAGTGGACTGGGGGAGGGCACAGGTGGGGATGAGGGAAAAATGGTGGGATTGGGAGGGAAGGAGGAAGGGGGCTACAGGGGTGATATAAAGTGAATGAACTGTAATTAATAAAAATAAAAATAAATTATAAAAAGTATCAGCTGGACATCAGTCCATGTCATGCAAATTCATCTGTTGTATGTGGAACATGGGACCATATTCTAAATGAGTCTTCACTTGTTTTCCTAATATGTATCTATAACCTTTACCTGCCTTTCAATATTCTACATCCAACTATAGTCACCTGTGTAACATGTCCTCACCATAAAGTTTTCTTTTACTACTGGGCTCACTTTTCTCACTACTTCTATGCCTGCAATTATTTTCTTGATGTCCATATATTGTTCACTGTGTAGCGATTATTGATCTAGTTCTCTATAGGTTACCATACTGCCTCACAATATTTATTATTTTGCGACAACAGTTTATTGATGTTGTTGAAGGTTGTGAGAACTGCTATGAAGGATGAGCTAGAGTCAGCCCAGACAAAATCTTCCCCACTGGACCTGTTCTATATACCCAACCTGCGCAAGTGGATCTGCCTGTTATCCTTTGTGAGGTAGGCTTTACATTGAGCCTCTTAAAAAGTTGTAGTGATGCTTCATGCTTTTAATCCAGCACTCAGAAGGGCAGAGGCAGGCAGATTTCAATGAATTTGAGGCCAGCCTGGTCCACATATGGAGTTCAAGGTCAGTTCTGTCTCAAAAACCAGTGTAGGTATAAATTTTCTCAATAACAGATTTGGAGATAAGTGATGAGGAATTTCTACAGCTAGAGAGATCCAAAGGGTTTGGACTATAACTGAGTGAATTGTGGTGAAGCTTCATTACCTGAATTCGTTGTTTAGAACTTCAGCCATGGAAAAACTTGAAATCTAAGCTTCCTCATTTGTCTGTTTCCATTTCAGATGAAATGAAACTTTAAACATCAAATATATGAGTATACACATATCAATGGATATATGTAGATTTAAAGTTATGACTTTCATTAAGATCAAGATGTAAGAAAAACCTTAAAATCCAGATGGACCCAGTTTGTATCCCAAGAATTCCCTAACCCTTTAAAGAATTGAACAGTGATGATACCTTCATAATCATAGAGTTTTTATAACTACAAAATTATGTCCCACATGTAAAGTTTGCAGAAAACAGATGCCTCAATATTTTAATAGCCAAAATGAGGTGCCTGAATTAACTATGCTATCATGTGTTGGGCAACCACTCCAAACCTTATGATATGACTTTCTTGTTTGTTTCCTACAGGTTTGTGTCATTAATATCTGTTTTAGGTCTGCTCGTCCACCTTCAATACCTGAGCAGTAATGTGTTCCTACTGCAGTGTCTCTATGGTGTGGTGTCTATCCCAGCCAATGTTCTTGGAAAATTTTCAATGAACTACATGGGGCGCAGAATAACCCAACTGATTTTCATGTCTCTGTTTGGAATCTCCATTCTGGTCACCATATTTTTGCCTCAAGGTAAGAAAAGAACACAGGATGAACAAAGATAATGCATCCATCCTTTTTCTCAGGAATTTTCAGATCTTATCTTAAATCAGGAAAAAAGAATCCTATGAATTAGCTGTAAGCAGTCTAGGCATTGAGATCACATTATTTCATTAAGCTATTGGGATAACTGTAAAAGTTTCAGTAAAATTTGGTTAAGATACTTGTGTTTATTGTTTGCAAGAAGTGCCTTAGAACTAGCTCCTTATTCTTAAATGTTTTTAGGTTGACAATGGATCAGTCATTGGTAAATTGTAATTTTCACAGCAATTATATAGATTAAGGTCTTATAATTCTGACCAAAACACACTGTTACTTCATCTGTCCCACAGGGTCTCATTGTTTTATCTTCAATGACAGTTTGTTTTCTCAACTGTGTGTATCTACTCATGCTTCTCATTTTATAATACCATGAATCCAACCCTACAATGGAGAGTTGTCTCAGGAAGAGAAACATCACTGTGTTGAAGCTCAAAAAGGACAAAGAAGTAGGAATGGACTAAGCCACAGGACTGTTAGAATTGGCTTCGTTGAGCTAAATGGATGTTTATTAGAAGGAAGTAGCCAGGTTGTCACCAAGCTTTGCTAAAACCTAAGACTCTTGCACATTTTATAAAATTCCAAATAGGGAGGGAGAGAGGATGTCAGCAGTGATGTCAGTTTTCTGCCACACCTCAAGAAACTCTCCAATGTATAAAGCTTTCATGAGTCTTTTAAAAAATTAAATTATTAGTGAACATATACCATGTGTGTCTTTCTGTTTCTAGGTTACCTCACTTAGGATGAGCTTTTCTAGTTCCATCCATTGCCTGCAAATTTCATGATTTCCTTTAAAAAAAAATTGTTGTGCAGTATTCCATTGTGTAAATGCACCACAATTTCTCTATCCATTCTTCTGTTGAGGTTGTTCCCAGATTCTGCCTTTTATGAATAACACTGCTATAAACATAGTTGAGCAAATGTCCTTGTTGAATGGTTGAGCATCTTTCAGATATATGCCCAGGAGTGGTATAGCTGGATCCTGCGGTAGCACTATTCTTAATTTTCTAAGAAAGCACCAGATTGATCTTCAAAGTAGTTGTACAAGTTCATATTCCCACCAGCAATGGAGGAGGGTTCCCCTTTCTCCACAACCTCTCCAGCAAGTGGATATCATATATATATATATGATAAACACACTTAAAATCTAGTCTAAAGAAGCTAAACAATAAGGAGGACTCTAGGGAAGAGGCTGAAACCTCACATAGAAGGGCAAGCAGGATAGACATTGGATGTTAGAGAAGACAGGAAACAGAACAGGAGCCTTCCACAGGGGGCCTCTGAAAGATTCTACCCAGCAGGGTATCAAAGCAGATACTGAGACTCATAGACAAACTTTGGGCAGAGTGCAGGGAATCTTATGAAAGAAGTAGGAGATAGTAAGACCTGGAGAGGACAGGAACTCCACAAGGAGAACAACAGAACCAAAAAATCTGGGCACAGGAGTCTTTTGTGAGACTGATACTCCAACCAAGAACCATTCATGAAGATAACCTTAGAACCTTGCTCAGATATAGCCTATGGCAGCTCAGTATCCAAGTGGGTTTCCTAGTAAAGGGGGCAGGGAAAGGCACATTCACTGTCATGAACTCGGTTGCCTGCTCTTTGATCCCTCTGATGAGATGGCCTTACTAGGCCTCAGAGAAAGAGGATCAAGACAGTCCTGATGAAACCGGTTAAGCTAGGGACAGATAGAAGTTAAGGAGGACCTCCCATACTAGTGTATTAGGGATGTGGGGATAGCGGGGGGGAGAGGGAGAGCGTTGAGACTGAGATAGGGCAGGAGTCCACAGTAAGGATACAAAGTGAATAAATTGTAATAAATAATAATAAAGAAAATTAAAAAGATTAAACTAAATAAAACTGAAAAAGTTGAACTTTTTTATGTACATGAGTGTTTTGCCTGCATGTATCTATGTGTGCCACATGTGTGCTTAGTGACCATAGAGGCCAAATGAAGGCATTGATCCATTGGAAAGTGGGAATACAGTTGTGACATACCATGGGTGGGTGCTGAGAATCAAATCATCATGAGACTTTTAAATTTATTTTATTATTATTATTTTTATTAATTACACTTTATTCACTTTGTATCCCCCCTGTAGCTCCCTCCCTCCTCCCTTCCTAGTCTTTCCTTCCCTCCTCCTTCTCCACACATGCCCCTCCCCACATCCACTGATAGGAAAGGTCTTTCCTTCCTTCTGATCCTAGTCGATTAGGTCTCATCAGGACTGGCTGCATTGTCTTCCTCTGTGGCCTGGTAAGGCTGCTCCACCCACAGGGGGAGGTGATCAAAGAGCAGGGAGACTTTTTTAATTGAATTGAAATTGACTGTCTTAACTGTTTTCCAATGGACAGTTTTCTGAGCAGCAGCCTTTATCCTTGAGTCCTTAGACATTGTTTCATATCAAATCAATTCCCAGCTTTCACACCACTGTAGGCCTTTCATCCTTCCACTTTTTAGTGATATTGTACATAGGCCATAGATTTAATTGCATCTGAATGAGGTGATAGCCCTCTGTAATTTTCTCCATGACAGTCCTACATTCTACATGAAGGATTCCTGAGACACTAGAGAGAAAAAGGTGAATATGATTTCCTTCTGTATTCACTATGCTCTCCACATCTTAAGCAAATATTGGAGATACAGTGTCCAATTTTTTTCAGAAGTTTTTCTTTGCCATAAACCAATACATTCAGTTAGGTCACTTTTCTAAGCTTATAGTCATGAATAATTTCTACCTTTCTGAAGTCTCCCTCCACCATTTTAGATTATATACAAACTTCCAACAAAATTATATCCCATTTGGGGTTAGGGAACTTCAAATATCTACACTCAGATTTATCTGTCTCATTTGACTGTCACTGGTCTTCCTCTCAACAGAATTTCAGGCCCTGCGTACAATTTTGGTAACATTGGGAGGAGCAATTTCTTCTGCCGCTATGACGAGTACTCTTGTGCATGCAAATGAGCTAGTCCCTACCGTAATCAGGTATGACTCAAGATCAGAGCAGACTTTTCTCAGTTCATTCACTTTTATTGAAAGAACAAGTAAAAAGGTGGTAACAGAAATGGCCTTAGTGTCCTGAAACTTTGCCTTTGTCAGATAGCCTTAAGATCAACATACCACTAGCCAGCTCTCCTATTCAATCTAGAGCCACCTAGAAGAAGGTAGGTACCAACAGAAACACAGATTTTTAAAATACTTTATTTATTTATTTATTTTAAAAAATATTTTTATTTTAATTTTTATTAATTACATTTTATTCACTTTGTATCCTCCTGTAGCCCTCTTCCTCCTCCCCTCCCAATCCCACCCTCCTTTCCATTTCTCCACGCATACTTCTCCCCAAGTCCACTGATAGGGGAGGTCTTCCTCTCCTTCCTTCTGATCCTAGTCTATCAGATCTCATCAGGAGTGGCTGCATTGTCTTCCTATGTGGCCTGGTGAGGCTGCTCCCCCTCAGGGGGAGGTAATTAAAGAGCAGGCCAATCAGTTCATGTCAGAGATAGTCCCAGTTCCCATTACTATGGAATCCACTTGGACACTGAACTGCCATGGGCTACATCTGTGCAGGGGTTCTAGGTTATCTTCATGATGGTACTTGGTCGGAGTATCAGTCTCAGAAAATACCTCTGTGCCCAGATTTTTTGGTTCTGTTGCTCTCCTTGTGGAGCTCCTACCCTCTCCAGGTCTTACTATTTCCCACTTCCTTCCTAAGATTCCCTGCACTCTGCCCAAAGGTTGGCCATAAGTCTCAGCATCTAAAATGCTTTATTTTTGGTTGTTTTTTTATTGTATACAGTTTATTTATTTATTTATTTATTTATTCATTCATTTATTTATTTATTTTTATAATTTTATGAAGATATAATGACATTCACTCCCATCACCTTTCTCTCTTATTTGTTCACTCTTGCTAACTCTCTTCTTCCACACTGTTCTACTTTTCTATCCTCATATATTTGTTGCTCTTGCTGCAGTCCTTTAAACTAGCATAGAAAATTTGGGTTTCAATATAACATCTTTATACATTTAACTCCTCTATTCCTCTGTGCCTACTTATATTCCCAATCTACCCCTCAGTGCTCACTTTTGCTTTCTTGTCACATATGTACTACAAATCCCTCTCACATCTTAAGACCTTCTCTTCCCCCATCATGATCACTTTTTCTAGTTTCATAGTCTATACTGGTAAACTCAAAAAATGTATGCTCATATGAATGTTAAAGCGCAGTATATACATAAACTTGTAGTATTTAGCCTTTATAGCATGTTTTGTTGTACTAAGTAAACAAGTGTCTTACTACTTTGTCCATGACAAAAAGATAACACTAAAATTAGACAGATATTTGAATGGTAAGACTAAGTCACCAGCATCCTTATATTCAATTACACAACTCATTGACTTGTAAAGTCACAAATTCAATGTGTGTGAATTTACTAGATGATTTCTGATTTGTGCTTTATACTCCAAGGGCAACTGCTTTAGGAGTCATTGGAATTGCTGGTAGTGCTGGGGTAGCCCTGTCTCCCCTGTTTATGATCCTCACGACATACTCTGCCTCCTTGCCCTGGATCATCTATGGGGTCCTCCCTATCATCAGTGGCCTCTTTGCTCTTTTCCTTCCTGAGACCAGGAGTCAGCCTCTGCCTGACTTGATCCAAGATGTGGAAAATGAGTGAGTAAAACCTGTACTTTACAGGACTTTGTGCCAATGGTCTGTGATAAGGAAGACTGGAACACGGACAACTAGGCTTTTCCATGTATGGTCATTGGTGTTGCCTTAGTGACCTTTTGTACATATTTTTATATAGGGGTTTCCTGTGTGTCTGGAAACTCCATATCAGAAGGGCCAGCTCCAAACATTTGGTTCTAGAAGATTTAATAATTAATATGACAAGTTCTTATGTCCTCTGTTTTACCCTGACCCATCATGCAACACATGTCCTGACACGGTCATGTGCCTTCTGTCTATTTTGTCCTATTGTGGAACACATATCCTTGAAAATATTTCACAATCCCACAAAAATGTAAGTATGATTTTATCACTCTGAGTCTCAGAGTGCCCCTCTGCTGGTAAGCTTTCTGAAACTAATGATCTCTATAGACTTGGGATGTGACAGTCACTCCCTAACTCACAGATTATATACAAGACTGAAGAACTTGCCACCCATGACAATATCTCTGAGAGAAGGGCTCTTATGTTTGCTGTGCAATTCAGAAAATATTGGTACCATTAGGAATGAAGTTTTCATGTCAGTGAAGAATAGAATAGTCTATAATGATCATAAAAGGAAAGGGAAGGATTTTATTAAAACTTTGGTGTACTCCCCACACATTCTCCCAAAACCCATTTGAAAATGCCATGCTAACCAAAGTAGGAAGAATTAGAGCTACCTCACAGAGATTCCCAGAGATGCCAGTCTTCTATTCACAAGACTTATTCCAACCTTTTGTGAAGAACCATGGATTTTTCCAAAGTTGATGGATAAAGAGTGAGCTTTCTCTAAAGACTGCAGGAATAAAGCTGGGCATGGTGTCACACGCCTTTAATCCTAGTACTCAGGAGGCAGAGGCAGGTGGATCTCTGTTAGTTCGAGGTCAGTCCGGTCTATATAGTGAGTTCAGGATAGCCAGGGCTTTGTTACACAGAGGAACCCTGTCTCAGGAAAAAGAAAGCCGGAATATCTCTCTTCTTTGCCTCCTTTATCATTTCATTTTTGTTTATGGCATTTGCTCTATTTGTTTCAGGAGGAAAAGCTCAAAAGAGGCAAAAAAGGATGCTGTTGCCAAAGTGACACCATTTTAAAGAATTCCAACAACTGACCTCTGATCAAGGACAAAGATTAAGAAAAATATCATTCAAGATATGATGGCCGAGAGGCGGGGCAAGATGGCAGCGCCGGGAGGACTCTCATTCTGAGGAGCAGCACAGCAGGATTGGCACAGTGACCAGCAATCAGAACTCGCGGCCATAAAACACAAGTGGTTGTGTTTCTCAGGTGAGAGGATACCCCAAGGTGGGGGATTCGATCAGCTTTAACTCACCCGGCAAAACCACGGAAGAGATCCCCGTTCCGCCAGGCGCTTGGTCGCCAGCCCAGAGCTACCCGCCAGCGCGATCTGGTCACGGTCCCAGACTGAACTGTGGGCCCACAACACCATAAACTGGATTTCCCAGTCGAGAGATAACCCCACGGAGCAGGAAACAATTGGGACAGACCCCAGGTTACCCAGACATCCCCTGGAAAAGACTCCGGTTCCGCGGGTGCCCCAGGAGCCAGCCCGGACCCAGAGCCGGGAGGGACAAAGGCGCCTGCCTGCACAGAGCCCTGCCTGCGCGTGTGATTCGCCGCCCAGATAGAACTGTGGGCACCAGGGCAACAGGGCACCAGACTGCGTGTCTCTGGCAGGAGGAAACCCCCAGCGGAGGGGGTCAGCAGCTCTAACGCTTAGGACACCCAGCACCAAAACACTTCCTGGACTCACGCAGACTCTAGTGCAGGCAGAAGCGCTGTGCTCTGCCGCCATTGTTGCGTTCCCCTGGGGCACTGGGACACACAGCTGCATCCTCGGACCTGCAGGAGCCGAAGAGCCATTACAGCAGCCCTCAGATACTGTGCCAGGGATCGGCCAGTTGTCCCTGGCTGGACTGCCAAAACTGTAGGAATCCCTGATCCTTCAGGGGGGCTGCACCCACAGTGTCTGGACCAGAGTGGTGCCTACAGCCGCCATCCCAGACAGAGACACACAGCTTCTGGTCCAGAGTGAGGCACCCAGCCTCCAGACCAGAACAGTGCCCCCAGGCGCCAACTCAACTTAGGTGCACATTCTCCAGGTCCAGAGCAGAGCAATCAGCCTTTGGCCCAGAGACTTGCTGAGTGCACCTCCCACTTTCTCAGACAGAACTGTGCGCCCCAGGATAACAGACTGAGTTTCCCTGTTGGGAGAAAACCCCATAGCTAGGGAATCAGCAGTTTCTTCAAGAGGACTGTACATGGAAATTTAGTGAGCAGCAGCACACTAAATTTATAACAAGAAACCCAGCAGTGGGGCAGCTGTCTTGAGAAATTTTATGGGTAAGAGGAGATCCCCCCCTGCCTAACATAGACCACAGCTACTACTCAGGGCTATAAACCTGAGGTGAGCAGTGGCATCTCCGGAGAAACACTGGCCATACAGTGACCATAACCAAAAAGCAGAGAAGGACTCCTTCAGGAAAAATCATCTTCCGGCCAAGGGGATACTCCCTACCTCAGGACTCCAGGAAGCACAGAAACTAACAGCCAACACCTAAATCAGCCCAATGGGTAGAGGTCAGCGTAAAGGCTCAACCAACAAAAGACAGAGCAATATGGCATCTCCAGAACCCAGCCATCCAGGGGCGAACAGCCCTGAACAATGCAGCATAATAGAAAATCAAGAAGATGACCTTACATCTATGTTGATGAAGAGAATAATAGAGGAAACAGATAAAATACGTAAAGAATTAGAGGAAGATAAAACCAAACAGATCATGGCTATCCGTAAAGAAATGGAGGAAGATAAAGACAAGCAAATTAGGGCCATCTGTGAAGAAATACGGGAAGATGCAGCCAAACAGCTTGTGGCCTTCAAAGAAGAAATAATTAAATCACTGAAAGAAATCAAAGAGACAGAGTTGACGGAACTAAAAGAAAAAGAGGAAAATACAAGCAGACAGGTGAAGGAAGTAAACAAAACAACTCAAGACCTGAAGATAGAACTAGAAAAATTAAAGAAAACACAAATGGAGGAAATAATGGAGAGGAAAAATTTAGGGAAGAAAACAGGAACTACAGAGGTAAGCATAACCAACAGAATACAAGAAATGGAAGAAAGAATCTCAGGTGTAGAAGATACAATGGAAGAAATCGATGTATCTGTCAAAGAAAATGTTAAATCCAAAAAATTCCTGACACAGACCGTCCAAGAAATCCAAGACAATATGAAAAGACAAAACCTAAGAATAATAGGAATAGAGGAAAAAGAAGACTCCCTTCTCCAAGGCCCAGAAAATATTTTCAACAAAATCATTGAAGAAAATTTCCCCAAGTTAAAGGAGAAGTAAATAAGGATACATGAGGCCTACAGAACACCCAACAAATTTGACCAGAAAAGAAAATCCTCCCGCCACATAATAATCAAAACAGGAAGTATACAGAACAAAGAAAAAATACTAAAAGCTGCAAGGGAAAAAGGCCAAGTAACATATAATGGCAAACCCATTAGAATCACACCTGACTTTTCAACAGAAACTATGAAAGCCAGAAGGGCCTGGACAGATATCATGCAGACCCTAAGAGAACACAGATGTCAACCCAGGCTACTATACCCTGCAAAACTCTCAGTCCTCATAGACGGAGAAAACAAGATATTCAATGACAAAAACAAATTTCAACAATACCTACACACAAATCCAGCATTACAGAAGACACTGGAAGGGAAAATACAACCTAAGAAAATTAGCTTCTGTCAAGAAAACACAGGAAATAATTAACCTTACTACAGCAAAACAAAAAGCAACCAAGCACACAAACTTATGAACACAGCCAACATCAAAATCAAAGGATCTAACAGCCACTGGTCATTAATCTCTCTCAACATCAATGGACTCAACTCTCCAGTAAAAAGACACAGATTAACAGAATGGATACGTAAACAAAGCCCAGCAATCTGTTGCATACAAGAAACACACCTAAGACACAAAGATAGACATTACCTGAGGGTAAAAGGTTGGAAGATGACTTTCCAAGCAAATGGACCCAAGAAACAAGCAGGAGTAGCCATTCTAATATCTGATAAAATAGACTTTCAACCAAAATTAATAAAAAGAGATGAGGAAGGACACTTCATACTCATCAAGGGAAAATTCCACCAGGAAGACATCACAATCCTGAACATCTATGCCCCAAATACAAGAGCACCCACATTTGTAAAAGAAACATTGATAAAATTTAAACCACATATAGATCCCCACACATTAATAGTGGGAGACTTCAACACCCCACTCTCAACAAAGGACAGGTCAACAAAACAGAAATTAAACAAAGAAACGATATCTCTGACAGAGGTCATGAATCAAATGGACCTCACAGACATCTACAGAACTTTACACCCAAACACAAAAGAATTTACCTTCTTCTCAGCACCTCATGGAACCTTCTCCAAAATAGACCATATAGTTGGTCACAAAGCAAGCCTCAACAGATACAAGAAGACTGAAATAATCCCTTGTATCCTGTC